CATTCAGTTTTATCGAGTACGAGGAGGAAGAAGAGAAACGTCGAATCGAAATTGAAACGACGGAAACAACGCGTTTAGGTAAAATCTGCTCGATAGATGCAAATCCTCCTTGAACGCGAACTTTTCCACAACGAAAAAATTTTAAACAAATTAGCGTTGGCAGCAAACTCTTACGCTGACACGATTGTTTCCCCGGTTCCAGCAATCAACGTTCCCATCGTCCCAATCAAGTAATCTCGTTCGAGGCACACTTTTCATTCGGAAGCGTAACCATCCGAAAAACCGTTCGTCCATTCTCCGCCATTAAGCTTAATTCTCGCGTTAACTCCCGCGAGCGTGAGAATCGGCGCTGGGGATTTTAAAACGCGTTAACCGAAATTTGAACGGCCAGTTGGCCGTTGCTTCTCGAAAGTTTTCCAACTTGCCCGAGCGAATTAGCCGAATCGCGGCGCGCGGTCGATTGTTGTTGAAAAATAGTTCGTAACCTAACTATCTCGCGGAATTTATGCATCTGCGAGAATAATGAAATGCATGAGCGAGAAATTTCATTTCTCGATATTACGCAGATCGGCTAACGGATATCGAGAAGTCGATCGTTGCGCCGGAAACGGGAAATAGTTTCGTTGCAGTCCTCTCTTAGGAAGAAACACGTGTCATATTCATAATTATATTTTTGTTTCTTAGAAGTCAAGAATATCTATCGATATAATGAACAATCGATTGTTTAAGTGTGTCTACAATCTCTGTGAAATATATAAGTACTTGCTGAATAGGTATCTTGTAATTTCTATGTACGGTGTCGAATTTTATGCAATTCTACGAAAATAATCATGATAGTCGTATCTCAATGCAACGTTAATGAAATTTTAGCGTGTTGGTATATATAAAAATATTCATGTTGATTATCACTAATATGATTAGTAATTAATATATACGAATAAAAAAAGACACTTATTTCTTAAAAAAATATGAATCAAACTCAAGGAAATATAAGCTGGTGAAAGTATTTCAACAGTTTTTATGTGCACATGAAAATATTTAAAGATATTATTATAACGTGATTATCACGATTATGTTGATAAAATTTAAGAATAATCTGAGGATAATACCCCGCACAGAAATTGCAACAACATATTTGCAAAGACTGTTGAAGTATTTGAAGAATTAGCTATCCGATAAGACGGGACTTCTTTAATAACACTGCTGTCTCACATCGAGTTCGTCGAAAACCGAATTGCATCGGACAACTGGATCTTTCAATCACCAGGAACTCGAACTTTATTAATAACCAAGTTACTTTCGATCCTTCGTAATCCTCTTTTCGCAACGCGGAGAAACATCGCGCCGGTTTCCCTCAGAAACGGAGAAACGTAATGCAACAAGAAACAAAACTACGAGAAGCCTTCTCTTCAGTTTCCCCCGAGGAAACAAGACAAACAGCAACGTTATGTTTTTCGAACTGAGGAATGAGTTTAGATTTTGGATCACACGGTCGACGGGCTGCTTGCAATTCTGTAAATTTTCGAACTCGCCGAATTTACTTTCAATTTGGCCGAAATTTCGAGTGTTTGCAAACCAGCAGCAAAATTACGCAAACGCTCGCAAAGGAAGTCCTTTCAATATTGAATGTTCCCGCATCCATGGCAAAGTCTGCTAGATAAGCCTCGCTGATGAGCCCGTCTAGCCCATCTAACTTTTTTCATTCTCCTTTCTTTTTTCGTTTCTCTTGCTGTTCATGTTCGTGTGATTAAAGTCACACCGAACTGTTCGAAATCGTATCGTTCGTATCACCCGTGTGAGTATTGCTCGATATGCAAGTCAGTGCGCAAACGAGTTACTAGATTGATAATTAGCAGGTATTTCAATATCCAATCCCTTTCCTATTTTACAAGTTTTTTTTAAATTACGGATATTTTGAGGAAGTCAGACACTTCGTTTTCATCGTACAAGAAATATTTATTCCTTTAACAGAACAAAAAATAAAAAATGTGCACATGTTGATCGGTGAACGAACTTTTCCCGCGTGTATTAACGTTAAATTATAAAATAGATATTCCAATTCGTTGCATCACAAAAATGAATTGACGATACAAACGATCGAATATTAAAACATCGCTGATACATCACTTCTCTTCCTTTAAAGCTGTAATTTGCTAATGCCATATTTGTAGATTTAAGATTTACAAGATTGTGTGCACGAAAGGAAAGATTATTCGTATACATTTGAGTCTAATGGAGAGCATTTTCACGTGTGAGCAAAAGTATGTGCTAGGGTCTCCGTTTCAGGCAATATAACATGCTCCTCCCGCGAAGGAATATAAATCTGCCCCTCTAATATAGTGCACGCCGAAGGACATTAATTTCACACTTGTGCTTTATCCTTTATCCATTGTCGTATAGCAGACACTCGCGTGTACACCCCGGGATATTGAGGTTTCGCGCAACTGCCATACCAGCCCCAAGACACAATGCCAATTTGAACCTTGTTGTATACCAATGGTCCTCCAGAGTCGATCTGCGACACGTGATTAAAGCTTTCAAAATTTGTCCGCAACAGTTGTAAGTCGAATGTATGAAAAAGAAATTTTATTGTTAAACTGACTACGAGCAAATTATCTGAAATTGAATCATTGAAGCATTAGTCTGACAATGAAACTTCAGAGTTGGATACAAATTCGAAATCGTCAGAGTTGAAGTAACATTCGGAGGTTGAGTTTGATACACATGTTCAATGTATAAGCCGAGTTTAATAAATTATATTCATACAGATAGAAGATATCTATAATTACGAAACGAAGCATTTTATACAGAGTAATTTTTAGTGCTGTATAATTTCGAATCTCTCGAAAGTTGTTAATTTTAGAAATATTAGGAGCAATATTTTTACTTCGAAGGGAAAAGACTTTATTTTCAAGATGTTTCCTAAGATTCGAACAGATTTTCAAATAGTTTCTTTTTCGGATGACATAATCCGTTGTAAAATGAAGTAAACTTTTTTATTGTAAATTAATATGACATGAGATATAAATTAACACGTAAAGAAAACGTGAAATCTTTCGTTACGCATCGTATAGTAAAGACAAAGATTTTATTAGTAATTTAAACTTCATTGGAGAGAGACGATCCAGATTAAAGAATGAACTGTTCAATCTTCGGTTTCTAACTTATGTAACTAATTGTTGTATCTGTGACAATTGCGATGATATAATCATACAAGATCCAACGACTGATTTCCGAAAAATGATATCGTCAAAGTTCCAAAACAAAATCTTACTTCTCGATATCATATTCCGGAAATCACTCGATCATAATCGTATTCTATTTACCATTTATTTTAAAAGAGCGACGAGTTTATATTTATCGAATCGTTATCTGTCGAAGTTTTTGAGAAAAACTCTTATCTCAGATTTCTTATAATGATAAAATTAATCGACTCGAAATGTCATATAGTAGAAATTAAAATTGATACTCCAAAACTAAACTTAATCCATCCATATGCATTTAATCCAATATTCATTCATGTAATTGTTTAATCTAATGCCTATTTGCATAATTCGTACAATTTTTCTTTATCATATCTAATAATTAACGTTAACAATCATTCAAAAATTTTTCTATATAAAACTCATTTCCAATATGTAAATTCATATTCATATTTTTATATTAAATATTATGGGAACCTATACGAAAGACATCCAATGGAATATAGATGTGAAAAAATGAAAAGAATAACGTAGTTAGCCATGAAATGCATAAACATCGGTAAATCTATTCTACAAAATTCTACGAACCTACCATCAAATTTATTATAAATCTATTATCACTCTACAAATAATCTTACTCTACTGCAATATCTATAAATAAACTAAACAAGCAATAGAAGAACACTCTAAAACACTTACGCTACAAGCGTCTTTGCCTCCATTCATAATGCCCGCGCACAACATGTTGTTGGTCAGGAGATTGTCATAAATTTTCTTGCACGTCGCCTGATCGATGACCGGTAACGTTAATGATTGCAGCTTGTCGGATATCGGACCGCCTGGCTGTAAATATACATGAACGAACAATCGAAATCATCATGTCGCCAGCACCGTGAGCTACTATATTTCTACTGTATGCAACGCATTTATATAAAGCGCGATGCAGTTCGAGGCGATGCAAACCTGCGCGAACCGCAACCGAGTATTTGCCGTGACGGGCGAACACTGTCGACCGATCGGCAAACAAACCTTAATGTTTGCGCGAGTTCGCGCAGGTAGGCAATCAGTCTCGGTGAACGTCACCATTGACCGAAGTATCAGTCCATCGTGTCAAACACGAGTTTATTCTGTGCATTAGCTGTTCGGGACGATACAGGCTGAAATGGATGGCGGAGAACTTACCGCCACGTAGCCCCATCCTGTCACCACTGCTTTTGTTCCGCCTTGTATCGTGCTCGCGGAAGATGCCAAGGCGATCGGTTTTACGCTCGCGCTCGCCGGCACGCTCTGCGGTAACTACGAATATGGATACTGTCTTCAATGCCTTTGTGTTTTCGTGCGATTTACGATCGATGTTTTCGCGACACGAAAGTCGATTCGTCGCCATTTTTTCAATGCTACTATTGGATAGAGTCACGTACGTGTAACCTCTTGCGAGGAAGAAGGTGATTTTGCTAGTCTTCTTGAGAAATACGATCTTGCAGTTTGTTGGATTGTAGGATTATTTAATTCGTCGCGGAAAAGAAGATGGAATTCTGAATTTTGGAAATTTCTGTCATTAGCGAGAAAGTGTCTGATTCTAAAGTTTCGTTTTACAGTCTATAAAGCACTAATTAAAGATACAAGACGAGTTCGAGGAACTTGTCCGATTGCGCTGATTACAATTCAGAACAGATTAACGAAACTTTTACCAAAAGACGTTATCTTATACTTTTCAAACAGCAAAAGGAAACATCTGTCAGCAATTCATCTAATTAATACGAACGAAATTGGATGTACACATTGATTTATCTTATCTGAGTTAATTCTTCTTGGAATTATGTTTCTATTCGATTAAGCTGTCAAGATGACTCATTAGAACTTTTTTTCAATCTACAGTGTCAAGTTTCCATTGCAAACAATATTGTATAATAACGTGACATTAAGTTGCATAATATTACGAGAGAATTCTGAATGAAATATTGAAAAAAACATACTTTTATCAAAGCGGCATCGTAATCCTTCGTATTCTGGTTGTAATTCGAATGCAGAATCACTTGAAGTTTCTCAGTGATCACTATGCCTTCTTTACTGTTATAAGAACTACCCAGGCGAATTTGAAGTTGCGAGGGTGGAAGTCTACAAATTACAATTAACCACATGAATCGCCTTTGTTCAATTGAAAAATAACAGCAGAAAGCGGTGTAAGTAGCAACAAATAAATTGGAATAAATTTTTATTGGAAATTCGTATGTCTGAAATCGTTTCACGTAGCAAATATATTACAGTGAGTATCACGCTCTCGATACTGCTCTCCGTATCACGCGCAATTCCCTGCAATCTTGCACTACGTTATTTTCCCAGAAAATGCACGAGAATCCTCGGTTCGTTAATAAATTATCTACTTAGCTGTCGGATCGTTCGACACAACCCGATCTGCACGTACTCTGACACACAGTGTGCCGCCGTTAACACCCAGTTTTGGCTGATCAAAGAGCCACCGCATAACAGCTGCCTCCGATCGTGGATAGACACCTATTACAGAGAAACGGCAATTTGGCATTGGCTCGTTATTTCGATATTATAGCGCCGGATTAGACGGCCGGTTCGGATTATGCCGAGGTTCGAAAGCAGAATTGCTCCCGTATTTAGCGATAAAGTCGCGTAAACCGTGATTAATTCACCTGATACGGATAGTCGTTGATGGACGCGTTGTCTCCGCCTATAATCCTAGGGCCGAAACAGAGCGCGTGCTGCGCCACGAAGAGCAACAGCAACATCCGCAACATGGTTCCTGATCGAGAGTCCAACAACTCACTGTCTGCTACGAAATCGGAGCAAGCAAGTCCACTGCGGAACTGATAAGCTCCGACGGTATTCGATATCGACATTAAAATATGTAGTATGTACATCGATTGGCGTTGTCCAACAGGCGGACATCATCACGCGAGCGCCATCACGCGATCGCGACGAACTTTAATCACGTTTCCTCCCCTGCTGCTACCACTCTCAATTTTCTTCGCCTTTGCTTCCGCGAAGCAGGAAGTAGTTCACGCGAAACTCTCTCAACTTTCTGATAGTTCCCCAAACCTGCGACGTGTCCCCGTTGATTGGCCCTAACGGAATTTTCTCTTGACTTTCCTCCCTTCGTTCTTTGTCCTTTGCTGGTGAATAGACGGCGGGTTAGCGCATACTTCCGTTTGCGCCGTGAATCAAGAAAGAAAGGACACCAAGAGCTTCGCGAGAAGCAAAGTGTCTGAGCGGACGAGTGAATAAACGGAGAGAGAATTAATTGATCTTCCTTGAGTAGTATCAACGTGAAAAGTAAATATCTGTGACACACTGTGTTGATTACTCGATACGACTACGAAAGATTAGGACTATGTTTTATTATAAACAACTCGAGATATTTTTCTCAAGCTAGATAGACGCGACGATAAAATAGTTGTAAAATAGCAATCAAAGATAAATTATTGGAAAGCTGCATGATTCCTTCGTCGGAAATATATCGTTAATGATTTGTACTGTTGCTCTTTTCTAAATAATGATTTATACTCGTTGAATTATACTGTCGGTTATTGTTGAAAAGGCTCGATGTTCTACTAAATCTACATCTATCGTGAAACGTTATGACAGTCTCGAGTACACGTTTGATATTATCTCTTAAAATAATCACGCAGTACTGAGAACCTTGCTGATACCTAAACGAAAATAACACGAATAAAACGTGAAGTAGACTCTTAAATTGACGAAAAGATCCACGCGATAATCGCGCAAGTGTTAACATTTTCATACCAAATTCATGGTAACGTCCATCGTAATGTCGATAATTTCGATCGGTCGATGAATAGTGAATCGTTGCTTCGTTCACACCAATATTTCCGCTTGTATTTAATTCGTCCGCGGGCAGGTGTGGATCTCTGGTGTGAATTCCATCGTGGAACGAGCAACGCAAAAATAATATTTGCACTAGCCACGTACCGGTTACGATTTATCCACGCAACATTTCACTCTGGAACGTAGACGCGACAGCGTCCGCTCTCTCGCCGTGCGCGAGGGTCTCTATATAATTTTTACTACGACTCGACCGCAATTTCGATTACTCCGCAGTAAATAAAACTCGGCCCGGAAATAAAACAATTAAAACGACGACAAATGGCGTTCCATTTGCGGCTGGCAAAGCGTATCATTTTTCCTTCTCTTCTTTTTTTTTTTTTTTTTTTTTCTATTTTCTACGTTGTAACGTAGCTTGCTCGCGCGTACACGCGAACACTTGCAAATCTTGTCACGCGTGATAAAGCTTGCGCGAATGAAAAAAAAAAAAAAGGAAGAAAAAAAAAGAAGAGAAACCAAAGAGAAAAGATATACACGGAAAACGATTTATTCAATGAACGCAGTTTATACCGATACGATGGAGAAGTTTGTATTTTTCGAATGTTGCACGCGTCACCAAATTTTCTAATTGTAAGTCACTGTTGATTAACTTACTGTTACTCTTCTAAAAATATGCTCGAGATATATGTAGCTCGATTTGAGTATATAAAATATTTAATTGTTTTCTTACTTTATTTTCAGTTAATCATTTTCTCAATTTTATGTCTGCGAATAAATTTATTGCAACAAACCAGGAGAATAAAATTTCCAACGACAATTTAAACAAGTCAATGAAGACTGGAATCTTTTGGATCGTTTTTCTTATTACTATATTGCTTTGGTACTATGTCAAATATTATGTAAACATTAAAGGAATAATGTTAAAAAATAGTATAGTATCACCACTTTACGCAAGAAAAGTCTCAGAGGGCTATTAAAATTAAAATACACTTCACTCACTACGTAACACAGAGGTTAATGAAATTATAAATTCTTTCCATAGATGTAAGACACGGTTTTCTTCGCAAGCTTGCTCATGCAATATACCAAAGTCAAGTATATAGAAAAATAAGAACACGTATCGTCAGTTCAATTCTCGAATGTAACAGGATAATTTTCAATTGTCAATTGTTTTTTTCAGTTATAGTCTCCTTCTGGAAGTCGCGACACGTAATCTCATGTTAAAGAGCATTAAAAAAAAAAAAAAACTGCGAATCACGAATCGAGGTGCTCGAGCTCGTCTCTAAATACATCTCTCCGACAGAAGTGGCGTGAACAGCGAAACGCGGTTGGGTTTACAGAAACGCGGACACGTGTTTCGAAGCGTTGGCGGAACGGAGGCAGGAATTAATGCAACGCCAAACGACTCTCGTAAACGTAAAAGGCCAGGGCGGTGGCGTTAAAATTATATGATGTCTGTGGAGCGACGAATATACGGCCGGGCCGGCGTGTACATGCATACGTATCTCAAGTGTATTATAAATGTGATGCACGCGGCTCTCGCGCAAAGGAAGTAACGCGTATTATTTATGGTACGGCCGACTGAACGCCGAATGAAAATAAGGCGGCATTAGCCTGGCTAGGGCGATGCGAAAGTGAGCGAGGGGGGCCACGAATAATTCCACAGCGTGTAATCCGGCTGAAAATTACCATTTAAATTTCAACCCCCTGGCCACGGTCACGCAGCGCGTTTCCCGCGACTGATGGGACGAGAGCTCTTGATTAACTACGCTAAAATCCCTCCCCGCTTCGACAAACGACACTTCGTATTGTTCCAGTTTTGTTTCAGCCGGAATTTAGTTACCATTATCCTTGTGACACGTCGCGTCGCGTGAGAACAGGACTCGCGGCAGTGAGGAAATTTCGACCGAGTTGAATCACATCTATCGATGTGTAATGTCTGGCAATACCGGGCCAGAGATAGATTTCGACATTCTGTGCCAATTGTGATCTACGCAGGTCACTGGATCCGGATTTTCGTCGGAATTTATCTATCCATTGCATTTCTCATTTGCGTTTAATGTCCGCCGAGTCAAAGATACATTTCGATAACGTTCGTTTTTCGTCGTCGATTCCATTCGTGTTTTTATATTTTATTGGATAATACGACGTTTAAATATTTATATTTCGATTGAACATACCCTTCAGATCTCTGTTTATCTTCGTGCTTTCATCGAAGCTTCCACATTAAAATACATTATTCCGCATACGTAAGCAAGCGTGGCGTTGTGAAGTCGATGTATTATTAAGCCAGGTATATTATATAGAATATTATACAGTCAGTATAATGCATTCGATAGTTAATACTTAATATGAATGAAAAGTATAAAATAACTAATGACAACACTAGAAATGGTCGTTATGTACTTCAAAAATTTCTGCATCATAATGAAACAAATAAATATTCCAAATTGCCTCAAAAAAAAAAAAA